CACGGGCCTAGCCGCTCCGCGGCATGTGGGATCTTCCCGGACCGGGGCTCGAACCCGTGTCCCCTGCATCAGCAGGCAGACTCTCGACCACTGTACCACCAGGGAAGCCCGTGTTTCCTTATTTATTTTCATTTTGGATGATCTATCCATTGGTGAAAGTGGGGTGTTAAAGTCCCCTACTATTATTGTGTTACTGTCAATTTCCCCTTTTATGGCTGTTAACATTTTCCTTATGTATTGAGGTGCTCCTATGTTGGTTGTATAAATATTTAAATTGTTATATCTTCTTCTTGGATCAACCACTTGATCATTATGTAGTTTCCTTCTTTGTCTCTTGTAATAGTCTTTATTTTAAAGTCTATTTTGTCTGATATGAGAATTGCTACTCCAGCTTTCTTTTGATTTCCATTTGCATGGAATACCTTTTTCCATCCCCTCACTTTCAGTCTGTATGTGCCCCTAGGTCTGAAGTGGGTCTCGTGTAGACAGCATATATATGGGTCTTGTTTTTGTATCCATTCAGCCAGTCTATGTGTTTTGGTTGGAGCATTTAATCCATTTACATTTAAGGTAATTATTGATATGTATGTTCCTATTCCCATTTTCTTAATTGTTTTGGGTTTGTTTTGTAGGTCTTTTCCTTCTCTTGTGTTTCCTGCCTAGAGAAGTTCCTTTAGCAGTTGTTGTAAAGCTGGTTTGGTGGTGCTGAATTCTCTTAACTTTTGCTTGCCTGTAAAGCTTTTAATTTCTCCATCGAATCTGAATGAAATCCTTGCTGGGTAGAGTAATCTTGCTTGTAGGTTTTTCCTTTTCACCACATAAATATGTCATGCCACTCCCTTCTGGCTTGCAGAGTTTCTGCTGACAGATCAGCTGTTAACCTTATGAGGTTTCCCTTGTATGTTATTTGTTGCTTTTCCCTTGCTGCTTTTAATAATTTTTCTTTGTATTTAATTTTTGATAGTTTGATTAATGTGTGTCTTGGCATGTTTCTCCTCGGATTTATCCTGTATGGGACTCTCTGTGCTTCCTGGACTTGACTGACTATTTCCTTTCCCATGTTAGGGAAGTTTTCAACTATAATCTCTTCAAGTATTTTCTCAGACGCTTTCTTTTTCTATTCTTCTTCTGGGACCCCTATAACTTGAATGTTGGTGCATTTAATGTTGTCCCAGAGGTCTCTGAGACTGTCCTCAATTCTTTTCATTCTTTTTTCTTTATTCTGCTCTGCGCTAGTTATTTCCACTGTTTTATCTTCCAGGTCACTTATTCATTCTCTGCCTCAGCTATTCTGCTATTGATTCCTTCTAGAGAATTTTTAATTGCTTTTATTGTGTTGTTCATCATTGTTTGTTTGCTCTTTAGTTCTTCTAGGTCCTTGTTAAACATTTCTTGTATTTTCTCCATACTATTTCCAAGATTTTGGATCATCTTTATTATCATTACTATGAATTCTTTTTCAGGTAGACTGACTATTTCCTCTTCATTTGTTTGGTCTGGTGGGTTTTTACCTTGCTCCTTCATCTGCTGCATATTTGTCTGTTTTCTCATTTTTTTAACTTACTGTGTTTGGGGTCTCCTTTTTGCAGGCTGCAGGTTCATAGTTCCCATTGCTTTTGGTGTCTGCCCCAGTGGGTGAGGTTGGTTCAGTGGCTTGTGTAGCCTTCCTGTTAGAGGGGACCGGTGCCTGTGTTCTGGTGGGTGGGGCTGGATCTCCTCTTTCTGGTGGGCAGGGCCGCATCTGGTGGTGTGTTTTGGGGTGTCTGTGAACTTAGTATGATTTCTGGCTGCCTCTCTGCTAATGGGTGAGGTTGTGTTCTTGTCTTTCTAGTTGATTGGCCTGGGGTGTCCAGCACTGGAGCTTGCTGGCCGTTGGGTGGAGCTGGGTCTTAGCGTTGAGACTTAGATCTCTGGGAGAGCTCTTGCTGATTGATATTACGTGGGGCCAGGAGGTCTCTGGTGCACCGGTGTCCTGAACTTGGCTCTCCCAGCTCAGAGGTTCAGGCCTGACACCAGGCCAGAGCACAAAGACCCTGTCAGCTACACAGCTCAGAAGAAAAGGGAGAGAAAAATAAAGAAACATTAATTAATTAATTAATATTATTAAAATAAAAAATTTTTTAAAAATAATAATAATTTTAAAAAAGACGAGAACAGGGCTTCCCTGGTGGCGCTGTGGTTCAGAGTCCACCTGCCGATGCAGGGGACACAGGTTTGTGCTCTGGTCCGGGAAGATCCCACATGCCACGGAGCAGCTAGGCCCGTGAGCCATGGCCGCTGAGCCTGGGCGTCCGGAGCCTGTGCTGTGCAACGGGAGAGGCCACAACAGTGAGAAGCCCGTGTACCGCAAAAAAAAAAAAAAAAAAGAAGAGAACAACCAAACCAATAAAGTAATCCACCAATAATAACACACGCTAAAAACTATACTAAGATAAACATAAAAATCAGAAACAAATCTGTCGCAGACAGCAGACCCCAAGTCTACAGTTGCTCCCAAATTATACCGCCACAATTTTGGGATGACTTGTTGTCTATTCAGGTGTTCCACAGATGCAGGGTACATCAAGTTGATTGTGGGGATTTAATCCGCTGCTCCTGAGGCTGCTGGGAGAGATTTCCCTTTCTCTTCTTTGTTCACACAGCTCCTGGGGTTCAGCTTTGGAGTTTGCCCCGCCTCTGCATGTAGGTCGCCTGAGGGCATCTGTTCCCTGCCCAGAGAGGATGCGGTTAGAGCAGCTGCTGATTAGGGGGCTCTAGATAACTCAGGCTGTGGGGGAGGAGGGGTACGGAATGCGGGGCGATCCTGCAGTGGCAGAGGTCAGAGTGATGTTGCAACAGCTTGAGGCGTGCCGTGTGTTCTCCTGGGGAAGTTGTCCCTGGATCACGGGACCCTGGCAGTGGCAGGCTGTACAGGCTCCCGGGAGCGGGGGTGTGGATAGTGACCTGTGCTTGCACACAGGCTTCTTGGTGGCTGCAGCAGCAGCCTTAGCATCTCGTGCCTGTCTCTGGGGTCTGCACTGATAGCCACAGCTCATGCCTGTCTCTTGAGCTCAGTTAGGTGGTGCTGTGAATCCCCTCTCTTTGTGCAACCATAAACAATGGTCTCTTGCCTCTTAGGCAGATCCAGAGATTTTCCCGGATTCCCTCCCGGCTAGCTGTGGTGCACTGGCCCCTTCAGGCTGTGTTCATGCAGCCAACCCCAGTCCTCTCCCTGGGATCTGACCTCCGAAGCCCAAGCCTCAGTTCTCAGGCCCCACACACCCTGGCGGGTGAGCAGACAAGCCCCTCGGGCTGGTGAGTGCCGGTCGGCCCTGATCCTCTGTGCGGGAATCTCCCCGCTTTGCCCTCCGCACCCCTGTTGCTGCGCTCTCCCCCGCGGCTCCGAAGCTTCCCCCTGGGCCATCCCCCGTCTCTGCCAGTGAAGGGGCTTCCTGGTGTGTGGAATCCTTCACAGCTCCCTCCCACTGGTGCAGGTCCCATCCTTATTCTTTTGTCTCTGTTTTTTCTTTTTTCTTTTGCCCTATCCAGGTATGTGGGGATTTTCTTGCCTTTTGGGAAGTCTCAGCTCTTCTGCTAGTGTTCAGTAGGTGTTCTGTAGGAGTTTTTCCACATGTAGATATATTTTTTATGTATTTGTGGGGAGGAAGGTGATCTCCATGTCTTATCCCTCTGCCATCTTGAAGGTCCCCCTACCGATGAATCTAATTTTAAGTTTGACAAAGAGATCAAGATTTTGCTCATGGGCCTTTATATATTCTTTCTTGCCCCTGTAGATTAAATGACTTGTATTCTTCTTTGGAAGAACATGGACTCTACTTTAGACTACGAGAAATGCCCACTGATTCATGCCCAGCCTTCCTGGTTGAAGAATGTTCCAAGCCACATTGCTTGGGCTGTAACCAAGGATGTCTGTAACCTAGTAGTCTTGCTACCAGAAAGATGTCTTTTAAGGTCACTGCAACATCAAATCCATCATGTCAAAGGGTGGCAGGATCCCAGGGGGCTAGAATGCCAGTGTGTGAAGCCAGACCAAGGGTGGTAGCAAAGCTGACCAGAATGTGGGAGGTAGTGAACAGGCCAGGGTGTCTGAGTTCTTATGTGGAGTTTCCCTGGGGCTTCCCAATTGTCAGAGATGCTTCTTCAAATGATTCTAGACCATAGCGCTCTCCGTAGCTGCACTAAACATCCACGAGGTTGCTTTGCCTGCCAGGATGGAAATATTATCATATTGTTATTAATTCTTCATTTTCCTTTCCTACAGAACATAAAGGCACCTTTTACTACATCTTGTAGACAGAGAGTCCTTTTCCTTCGTCACAAGTCAACATGTAACTAAAATTTGTAAGAAAGAGAGAAACACGCCACTTAGACTCCATTACTTTTGCCTTATTCTAATTTATGTATTTTCTTCTTCATTTTCTTGGATACAGAAAGGGAAGGAATGAGAGAAGCCTGGATTTTTATTTTTATTTTATTTTTATTTTTATTTTTTTTAGGAAACAAGGAAACAATTGCTTTACTGTACACATGAATAACAAGAAGAAATGGTATGGGGAATATGTAACTAAATTAAGCATATTTTAACTTTCTTATGACTTGAAGAACCAAGGCCTAAAGAGCTAAAATCCTAAAAAAAAGGTTCTCACAGTAATATATAACATAGAAAATATTAGTGTAACATCTTTATATAATACACTGTTAGAAATAACTTTTAAGTGTAAAGCTGTGCGTGTCTGCGGCTCTTAAACTTGAAGAGTATCACGTATAAATTGGACCCTGCCCTATGCTGTATATTAAAATCAAACCAAAACCAAAAAAAAAAAAACCTGTATAGTTAGAATTGACTTACTTCCTTAAAAATTCAGAGTAATAAATGGTGACAATAATAGTAAATCAAAAATAGTCAAGCACATAGTGTCCAAGCATAGTTCATCTTCTCAAATTATTAAGAATATATAATTCTACTTTGTTGAGTTTGGAAACTTCTCTTCTGCAGATACCTAAGAAAAATGGATACCTTCTGCATTGAATCCATGTAGCAATCTGAAGAAATCATCTATGTCCATGGAACGGGCCCGCTTGTCACTAAAACCTGTGCTGGTTAGGATTTGCTGTATTTTATCTGCTATGCTGAAATCTTCTGGTATTATGATATTATGGACCGAACAGTGAATTCTGTAGTTTTTTTCCAGTAGCTGTTGCACTGCACTTGACTTAAATGCAGCAGACAGTGTCTTGTTTTTCCTAACAAAGGTGATCCTTACTAGGCCATCCCATTCCTGAAAATTGATAGGTGGTGGTGGATTCTTGGGTTCTATCCTTACGACACTGGAATCCACCTTGGGTGGTGGTCTGAAGTTATTCTTCCCAACTTTCATTAGATGGTCCACACGTGCTAATAGCTGTGTATTAATTGACAGTCTGCAGTATAACTTATCTCCAGGTTTTGCAACCAGTCGGAGAGCAAATTCTCTTTGAAACATAAGTACAGCACATCTGAAAAAAGGTCGGTGCAGCAACAGCTTGAAGACAAAAGGAGAAGAGATGTGATAAGGCAAATTTGCCACACAAGCATCAAAAAATGGCAAATCTGTTTTCAACACATCACCCACCATTACTTGAAGTTTGCTGGCCAGAGGCGTGCCCTGAACTCTTTTGTGAAGTTCAGCTACTAGCCTTATGTCAAGTTCACAGGCTATTACCTTTTTTGCCTTTTCTAGCAACTTTACAGTCATATTGCCAGTTCCAGGTCCAACTTCCAGCACCACATCAGTTGGTCTTAAGGCAGCCTTATCGATAATGCTGTTAACAATGAGAGGATTTTTCAAAACGTGCTGCCCAATCCCCGTGTTGAACATGAGTCCTCCTACGCTCTTCAGCTCCCGGCGTTGTTGTTGCCGCTCGCGGCACCGGCCCCTCGCCCCTGACTTAATCCGGCATCTCTGCAGGCAGCAGGCCCACAGGCCGGGGCAGTTAGAGAGGACCGGAGCCTGCAACCGCGAGTCACCGAACCACCAAAGCCTGGATTTTTAAAAAGGTATGTCTGTTTTTGTCAAATCTGATGAACGTTACTGTACCAAACATTAGAAATGTGTTAAGAGGAAATATTTGCTTACACCTTAAGCTGCATAAAAAGCAATATTGCTTCAGTCTTGTTATAACAACTACTCTCTGGGTTTTCAGGAGTTGTGATTCCTGTGATTCAAATGATTCTGCATGCCCTCAAAAAGAGCTGAACTTGCAGAATTATTATTTAAAACCTATATGATTCAACCCCTCCAAAAAAACCAAATAGAATCCCTTCTGAATTCACGACTGGACCATTTCAATAGCAAACACATTCATTTATTATTTCTGGCACTCCCTGGGTATGAGGGACTGCTTTGGACATTCAGTTGGGCCCAGCTTTCATAATGGAATCTATCCCTTAGGATAAAGGAAAATAAACAGACTTGGTACCTTAGGCTAACGTGATTTTCTGAGTTTCGGAGGGCAGCAGATTTTTTATTTATTTTCAACCTGATAAGTTTCCAAGGCAAAATGATTTATCTCTGTCCAGTTCTTCTTGGGATATTCACTGGGCAGAAAGTGGATTAAGGAAGAAATAGAGAATGGGCTGAAATAGAAAGGGAAAAAGCTCTCTATGCGCAATATTGACTCGACGAAGCCCTAACCCGATTTCTGTGTATCCTCTAAAGAGAGCAAAAATCAAATTAAATTGGAGAAAAAGAAAGTGAAAAGAGAATATTTTGGTCTAAGGGAGATTGCATTGTAGGCTTAATAGAATTTAGATGGCAACATCATTTTTAAAACTAGATTGGCTTATGCCTATAATTCCTGAATGTACTGTTCACAGGCAAGGTTTGTGTGTGCCTTCCTCTGACATGACACAAGAGAAAAAATGTTCACAAATGATAACTGCCTAGTGCCAGCAGTCACATAATTCCCTTTCAAACGAGAACAGGGAAAAGAGCTGTTGCCAAGGCAAGCTTGGTGGCTGTGAGGCCCCAGAGTTCTCCATTATCCGGGGTCCCACCCACAGCCTGTCATTTCTCTGCAAGACATCTGTCTGGCATCTGGGAAAGTGCCGTTCCCCAGCCTTAGAGGAACTGCCCAGCTGGGATCCACCTAATCCAACACGCATTCTCCAGTCACCACGATCCCGTGGGCTTGAGAGGCTCATCACTTTCTGGGGAAGATGTCCTGAGTGTCACCAATAGTTCTTATCCACCAGAGACAAGACACACATAGATTCGTGAGCAACCCAGTAACAGTCCAAGATGAATAAATGCCAAACTGCTGTAGAGACCAGCTGTTCTCAAGGTTGTCATGATCCGAGGGAAGAAAAGAGTGGAGTTACGTCTACCATTGCTATAGCACCAGATCCCACAACCTGATTTATCACAATAACAGGCAGCATGTATGCAGCACCAAGTGTGCACTGGGGGTGGGGGTGGGGGAAGGCTGGGTGAAGCACTTCCGTGCCTCACTGCAATCCTACGGGTGGTCAAGTGCAGAGAATGAAGAGTACGTATCTCTCAGGAGAGGTTATGTGTATGATGCATTTAGTTAGTACCTGGTGCAAACATGAGCTGTCATTTGCATCATCTTCCCCAAATGACGGATGAGGAAACCGAAGCTGAGGGGTGGGAAGTAATAGGTAGTTTTGGTAAGACTCGAATTCTAACGTTGGTGTGACTGCAAAGGCCATTCTCTTAACTTTGATGTCTTACTGCTCTGTGGTGAGTGGGCAGGTGGGTAGAGCCCCATGATCTCTATCAGTAACTTTGAATCACATCTCCATTAAATGTGGCAGTGAGTAGGAGGAAGTTTTAATGGAAGGTTCTGTGGCAGAAGAAAAATGGTTAAGGTTGAGTAGGCAAAGAGGAAGGAGGTTTAGGTGGTGGAGAGAGCCTGGGAGACAGTGGGTGGGGCGGTCCAGTGGGGGCTGATAGTTAACTGGAGAAAAGGGCACTAAGGACATCAAGCTTATATCACAATCTCATTCTCCACGTGCTGCCAGGCATGTGCCACAAAGCCTCCTCCTCAGACACACAATTCCCACTGAGGTCTTCTTCTCATCTTTCCATAAGGCAGCTGTGTGCTCAGTCAGTCACAAAACCCCGGTATTTCATGGGACCTTCATCTGGTTCAGCCCCCTGGAGCAATGTTCTCTACAGGAGAAACATTTCCAGGGATGGGGAACTCACTACCTCTCAAGGGAGCCCAGTTCTTTAATGGACAGCTTTCTTTCCTAGAAAGCACTGTCTTTTGTAATCTCTGCTTCTTGAGCACCTCGGGTACTTAAAGCCCACTATCCTGTACTGAGTTTCTTCCTCTCAGGCCAAAGAAATCCAGTTTCCCCATTTTAAAACTTGTCCCCATGCCTTCACTTCAATGCAACCACTTCCAGTTTGTAACTTCCTGGACACAGCACGGCTTTGGGGAGCGGGGAGTGAGTTCACATTAGCAGATCTACATATACGGAGCACCACTTAAAAAGAGGAAGAAAGGCTCTGAAAGGAGATGGAAAGTATGTCACCTGCACGTGTGCACAAGTAGCTAAAGTGAAACTACAAAGGAAGCATTGCCTGTCACATGAGGGTTTCCACAGGTCTTAGTGCAGCTTTAATAACCTCGGAAGTATATTTGCTAAAATGTTTCAAAATCACACTGCTGGGAAGTTAACATGTAAATTTCTATTATACTTGTTACAACTTATAAAATTTTAATAATACATTTTTATTGTAATATTTGTTTCAGGCAACCTTTGCCATCTTCAGAGGGTCAGGGGTCCCCTTAGAGATGTGTGACTCTCCCTGCTGACATCCACATAACGGGAATTTTCCATGGCCACTCTGGCTGAATGTAGACGCTTCGTATTAGGAGTAAGTGGCTATTCAAAGCCACTTTGAAAAAATAGAATGACCATATGATTCAGCAATTCCACTTGATATATATTCAAAAAAAATGAAAGCAAGGTCTTGAAGAGATATTTGTACATTCATGTTTATAGCAGCATTATTCACAATAGCCAAAATGTGGGACTAACCCACTTGCCCATCAGCAGATGAATGGATAAATAAAATGCTGTACAATGGAATATTATTTAGTCTTAAAAAGGAAGGAAAATCTAACACTTGCTACAACATGGATGAACCTTGAGGACATTATGCTAAGTGAAATAAGCCAGTCACAAAAGGACAAATACTGTATGATTCCACTTGTGTGAGGTACCTAGAGGAGTCAAATTCACAGAGACAGAACATCGAATGGTGGTTGCCAGGGGTTGGGAGGAGGGGGAAATGGGGATTTGTTTACTGGGTACAGATTTGTCAGATGAAAAGAGTTCTGGAGATTGGTTGGGAAGCAATGTGAATGTACTTAACACTACCAAGCTGCACACTTAAAAATGGTTAAAATGGTACATTTTATGCAATGTATATTTACTATAATTCAAAAATATTTTATTTCATTAGCTTGAACATCCTTTTCCTTTATAGTTTTTGTCTTTAGCAACATGCTGAGAAAGTCTTTTCTTACCTCCACATGATAGAAATATTTACCTGTACTTTTTTCTTCTGTGGTTGAGTGTGGGATACTCAGGTGCAGTTGATTCATTTCCTAAGATATTATCAGTGATTGATCCTTCTTAGGCTCCTCTCTTATTTATTTATTCCCTGTAATCCCCATTTCCTATTCCAATCTGCCCCTTCATAAAACCGTTCTAAGGTGTTGAATATGTATCTTTTTCATTTGCATATGTTTTTGCTAAATACATATTGTATGATGTTGACACATTTTAATTGACATACATAAATGATATTGTGTTATATATCTCATTATGCATCTTACTTGTTTCACTCAGCATTGCATTTTTAAGATCCATCCTTGATGTTCTGTGTGCATTTGATGCATTGCTTCTAACTTCTAGTCAGCCCTCCTTGGTGTGCCTCTAACATTTCACCAATCCGCTCTCCCAGCAATGGGCATTCCAACTGCCTTCAACTTCCCATCACAAACAATCCTGCATCCACTTATGGATCCTGTGAGACAGATTTTGTTGCATCAAAATGAAGGACTTCTGTTCAGCAAAGACTAACATTACTAACATTGGTATTTTTAGAGTGACAAAGAGGAAAATGGTATTTGCAATGTGCAAATTAACAAGGGATTAATATCTAGAATACACAAAGAACCGTCTCAAATCAAGAAGAAAAATACAGAAACCCCAGTAGAAATTGGGCAAAGGGTATAAGCAGGCATTTTATGAAAATGGAAATCCAAAAAACAAAAAAGGATTTGAAGAGATGTTCAAATTCATTAATAATACAAGAAATGCATTTTGAAATAAACTTATGCCTTATTAAATGGCAAAAACTAGAAACTAGATAATATCAGGTATTGGTGTGGATTTGCAGACATAGAACCCTTGCACTGCCAATGGGAGAGTAAACTGTGGTCAAATTAAGTACATACACACCCCTGACCCCAAAATTCCACTCTTCCACCAGCACTTTTATAGTTTGGGGGTTTGTTTATTTTTAGCATATAAATATTTAATCCATATGGGATTTGTTTTGTTGTAGAGTATAAGTATTGAGCAATATTTATTTTCCCCAAATGTTTGGCCAGTTGACTTAACACTTTTGGATAACACTACCTTTTCCTCTACTGTCACTCTATCATTTACTAACTTCTTATAGATTCCTGGGTCTGTTTCCAGATGTTAGGTTTCTAAATAGTGTATCTCGGGGCTGCCAAACAGTGACCCATTTGGAGAATGTTTAATCCCTCCTGTGCTTTGTGCTTTGATGTCGAGAGCCAACTAAGATCCAAAGAAAAAACAGTCACAGAAACCAAGGGCTGTTTTTTCCTGATACGTATAAATTCCTGTTGGATGGAGCTTTGGTTTCTGGCTGTTATTCTTAAATGAGCCCCTTCTCACATTCCTTCCTTCCTTCCTGGTCTCCCAAACTTCTCGTGGCATCTTCTTACTTCCATTTCTTTGACTCAAGAAGTTAGATTTTAAATCTCTCTCTCTCTCATTGACTGCCCAATTCATCCTGTTTCAAAAAGAAAGCTTAAAGTCTTGAGCAGAGTTTGGAAACCAGAAAACCTCTCTGAAGATTAGCAATTTAGCAGCTTGAAGATTTCACACGGACCAAATTTTTTTAAAAAGCCCTTCAGAATTCAAGTGCCTCTTTGGTTCATAATAGCAAGTCTGGTGGGACTCCCGCGCGTTCTGTCTTCCCTGCGCAGGCTCAGTCCAATGACCGGAAACACGATGTCTGACCATAGAGGGTTAAAAGCCTGAGGAGGGCTTCCCTGGCGGCGCAGTGGTTGAGAGTCCGCCTGCCGATGCAGGGCACACGGGTTCGTGGCCCGGTCCGGGAGGATCCCACATGCCGCGGAGCGCCAGGGCCCGCGAGCCATGGCCGCTGAGCCTGCGCGTCCGGAGCCTGTGCTCCGCAACGGGAGAGGCCACAACAGTGAGAGGCCCGCGTACCGCAAAAAAGCCTGAGGAGCTGCTCAGACACCTGAAAACCATCTTCACATCAGGGCGATCAAGTCACATTTCCAGGCTGCAGGAAAGTGTGCTCTTCTTGAAGAGTGTCAGTCACTTCATTTTAAAAGACGCAGACAAGCACTTAAAGGCTGTCAATCACGTCCTACGACGGGAGACAAGAAACTTTTAACATCTGAATTGCCAATATTTTCCACAGTAAGTACAAAAAAATTTTTAATGTAAAAAAATGATTATTTCCCAGACCAAAAGGCCAGGTCTTTTCCATGAGAATATTTGGAGCAGCATTACCTGTCAGATTAAGAAATAGTAATAGTAATAATAATAAGAAATCTATTAAAACATAAAGAAAAAGATCTGGTCTGACTTCCCTTGACTATAATGTTCTTTAGGCAACCTGGAGACTGAAAATGTGCTAGAATAGGACATTTCCTGCTGGAGAAAGCTGACAACCAAATTGTACTGTCCAATGCAGCAGCCACCAGACACATGGGGCTATTTAAATTTAATTAAAATTCAATAAAACCAGTTTTAGTCACTCTAGCCACATTCCAAGTGCTCAACAGCCCCATGTGGCTAAGTGGCTGCTGTATTGAATAGCACACATATAGAACGTTTCCATTATCACAGGAAGTTCTGCTGGACACCACTGATTAGACCTTTGCTACTCAAAGTATGGCCATGGGCCAACAGCACTGGTGTCACCTGGAAGCAGGGTTGCCTTCATGGGCGTGTGGCCTGTGGAGTAGCCCAGGGACTCGTGCTTAAGAATCTGCATGTGGTTTTATACTTTGTTGTCGCCATTTTGAAATTGTTAATTTTTGAACAAGACATCCTGAATTTTCATTCCCACCAAGCCCCGCGAATTATGTAGCCACTCCCACCTGGGAGCTTGTTACAAATGCAGAACCTCAGCAGTTACACCTGCTGAATCAGAATGTGAATTTGAACAAGACGCCCAGCTGACTCTTATGGACATTAAACTTTGAGAACTAAGATCTAGAAGCATAATTCTCAAACTTATTTTAAATCTACAAACTCTTTCTTTAAATTGATTAAAATAAAATTTGCACAGATCCAAATATATAAAATAGATTAAAATAATTATGCCTATCAGGCAATTTATATAGTCATTTATATAGTCATTGTTCAGCTGTCAATAATATCTGGTTATTTGGGGATCCCTAGGATTTTATGGAAGATCTTGAACACCTTTAATCTAGAATTACTTGGTTGGAGACAGTTTGTTGTTGAGACAACCCCAGTCCTATACCCAAGAACCTGCAAACCCCAGGTAAGCCAACTTTCTTGGAATAAGCAAATTAGAACCATGGTACTGTGCAATCTTTGTACATGATATTAGCCAACCCACATTAGGGCATATTAGAGGCTTCCCACTTTGGGCTGGGCACTTCACCACGTCACCTCATTTAAACTTCACAGCACTGTAAAGGAGGGGCTGGCATAAACGACATCTTACACACAAGTAAGTGAGGCTTAGATTGGTTAAGTAACTTACCCAAGCAGAAGCAGGATTTACACCCAGGTTCAGAATTGGGATTAGGATGGGATGAGTGAAACACTCTCCTCAGGTGCAAACTGTGAGAGGGAAGGGCTACAAAAAACTCAGTAATCAAGGTAAATCATATTTAAATTCAATATTTTTTTAAAAGTCTAAATGAATGCAAAAATATCCATAATGAACAAATTCTCATAATTTTATTTTTATTATTATTTTCTTGGCCGTGTTGGGTCTTAGTTGCGGCACATTGGATCTTTTATTGCAGCGCGTGGGCTCTTCGTTGTGGTGCACGGGCTTCTCTCTAGTGTGGTGCGCAGGCTTACTTGCCCCGTGGCATGTGGGATCTTAGCTCCCCGACCAGGGATTGAACCAGCGTCCCCTTCATTGGAAGGCAGATTCTCAACCACTGGACCACCAGGGAGGTCCCCATAATTTTAAATAAAGACAGACTGTTGGTTTGTTTCACGACCCTGCATTATTGTGCAGCAGGAA